GGGCGGGGGGGAATCCTAAGTACATCAAAGAAGGAGTCAAGATGTAAAACTTTTCCTTTAGTATAAGTTTAAGATAAATACACATCTGTTTCAAGAGAAATATAAAGTAAATAGTGGCAGCCAGAGCATGCGTATGGCCGGAACCCTGTGTCTGGAAAGGACTTGCTGAGGTTTGGAAGCTGCTGTGGGAGGGGCTCAGCTTTGCAACCAGCGACAGAGAGGGAGCCTGGTTTCTGAATGCTGCTCCTGTGTTCTGGAAGACCGAGAGGAGGGGAAGGAATCAGGCCTGTTGGGCACAGGCCGAGTAAAACCTTGGCCGAAAGTAACTTAGTGGACAGAAGAATGCCCATGGTTTCATTCTTGTCACCTGCACCGTGAAGTGTGTCACCATGCAGCAGGCAGAGCCATGGGGGCCTCTGGGATGCAGGGCCTTAGGGTGAGGACTCCTGGGGTCTGGTGCCCCAAAGGCCAGGAGTGAGCAAACCACCCTGAGGGCATTGGAGCCTCTGAGGGTGCTTTCATCAGAGGGGTGACATGGTGACAGTACCTGTCCCCCCACCTGGAGTGTAAGTCTTTGGGGCGTGCTCCCAAGTGACAGAAATGTACCATGATCATGGCCTTCAGCCAATGGCGAAGATATTCTCTAGGAAAGAGGCTTACCCGGAATAAGGGGGGACTCAGTCAACTAGGGGTGCCCGAGGGAAAAGTTAGATGACACAGACCTCTGAGTGTCAGAGAGCCCTCATGCACTTAAGGTTTTTCCCCACGCACATGAATCCACTGTTTGTGGTTGACGAGAGAGCACAGGCAGCCAGCTGGTGTTCTGCCCTGTTTCTTGCTTGATGGGGCTCTGAGCCACCCGCACCTCCCTTCCCTCCCCACGCCAGAACGTTGGGGTTACAGCTTTTCAGAGATTAAGGCCAAACACTTAAGGATGATCTCAATGACGTTTTGAAAATGCATGAACACACAGGAAGGAGATATAAAAATGTTAATGTACGGTGGTTCTCTCTGGATGGAGGAAAATCAATACATTTCTTTTCATTTAACAGCAGTGAGGAGAAATGCTGCCGAGCTGAGCTCGCTAATAGCCGTCGGAGCCTGAAATAGCTGTGCTCAGACAGATTCCTGCCAAACACGACCCCGGAAGGGCCCGCGCACATTGGCTTTGCTCAGGCTCGGATGACAGTGTCAAGGTGAAAGGTAGCTCCATCCTGGTATTTAACAGAAAATCAAGCCAAGGCGGAAAGCAGCACAAACAAGCTTTTTAGAAGCAACGAGCAAGCCTGGAGCTGGGCCCGGGCTTTATTGATAGAAGCTGGGTCCTGCCCTAGTGTGCTGAAGCAGCGCCTGGCCTGCCCAAGGCAAACAGCAGCAGGCAGCTGGGAGCAAACCCTCTCGGGCTGGTTGCCTGCTGGGGCCGCCTCTCTGCTGGAGTGGAACGCGGGGCCCCTTCGCTGCCTCTCTGGGGCCCTGTGTTCCAGCACTGGCTCTGCACTAGACTCTGCCTGGCTTGGCTTGCCAGCGGCTCTGAGGCTGAGCCCGCTCCCCAACAGAAGGAAGAAGTTACTGTTTCCAAATACTCAGACCTGACACACGGCTGTTACAGGCTGAGTGTGAGCCATGTATGGAGCAGGCACAAGGCCTTGCCTGGGGTCCCCCCGCCGAGCTCAGGGGCTGTCTTGACTGCTCCAGGGCTGGGTTTCTCAGCCTGAATTTGGCCAGATGCTTCTTTGTGTAGGGTCTTCCACGCACAGTGTGGGGTGTTGAGTGGCATGGCCCCAGCCCACTAAGATGCTAGTAGCAACCCCCAGTTTTGACTGCTAAAAGCACACCCAGAAACTGTTCCCTCAAAAGGAGGGGACAAACCATCCCCTTGTGAGTCCTGAGGAGTGCTGCTCCATAGGGAGCAACAGAGACCAACGGGGAGGTCCAGGAAATAGGAGTGAGCTAGCTCCAGGATGCGGGACTGGGGGTGGGGGTAGTAAAGGGGAGCAGAAAGAACAGAGATGTGGGTTCTCCCCATGGGAAAGAAAAATGGGAAAAGAAATCGTTATTTAAATAGGATATTTTGGAAATGGTGTATCTGGTGCTCTGTAAACCTGCCTCCTCCACCTTCTGCAAAAATCTGCATACTTCCCCAGAGCTTTGGGGGTCACACTGTCTCCTCTGTCCCCCTCAACCTCCTACCTGGATAGACGGGATCCAGCTAGTGAAGCTTTGCTCACGAGGGCAGGTTACATTCAGGTAACACAGCAGTCACTGTCCGGAAGTGTGAGGAGGATATGCTATATTTTTTAACATTTTACTTTTGTTTTTATTTACTTTTTAAAAAAATCATTAATACTATTATTAAAAAACAAAACCCAGGGCCCTCCCTGGTGGCGCAGCGGGTTAAAACACAGCACAAAGAAGCTTAAGCCACTTCCGCAGGAGTTCGATCCCCGCCTGCCCCGGAGGTGACCACATGGCGCGGCAGACCTCTCCTGACCCGCCCGCTGCTCCCCTCAGCAGTGTACTTTGTCGATCTGCTGTTCTGCTCCCCACTCTGTCTCTGGTGAATCCTCTCACCCTCCGCATCTCTGGCCTGTACCCCAGTTCTGTACAAATAAATAAATCTTAAAAAAAAAACCCAAAAAACCAGCCATCATATTTGCTTTTCTAGTGCTGCTTTCCTGGGGGGATAGAGAACACAGGAGACAGCTTGGCGGCTGGTAACACTTCTGGGCAGGTCAGGTGACTGAGCGACCCTGCTCGCGTGCCCGATGGCCACAAGGCAGCGTGTGATCCGCTGGGGCCCAGGGTGGGCCCTGAGTCGTCTCTTCCAGAAGTGAGCAGTCACCCAGCATCTGCATTGCTTCATCACTGTGAGCTTTATCCTCATAAATGCGGGGTTTGTTTGTTTAAAGTCTGGTTCCCCCACTCTACTCCAAGCACAGAGGGCAGGGACCAGGTCTGATTCCTTCATCATTAAGTCCCTGGCATTTGTATATTTAATAGTCAACATTCAAAACATACTTTTTTTTTTTTAAAGATTTATTTATTTGTGCATGAGCCAGCAGTGGGAGGGCCTCCATCTCCCGCCA